ATCGGTAGGATCGGAATTAGCTCTGATATCCACACCTGCTGTAAAGAGCTGGCCTATCGTTGAAAGAAACGACTCTCTATCGTTCTTACCGCGGACCAACGTGGGGACGTAAAGGACTGTGGAGGGAAGTGGTTGTGTGATTTGGCTTAGTGCGCCTCGCAGACTCGAGTGTGGTCCAACCTCCAATAGAACCAACTGAGGTGTTGTAGAAACCATAGACTTGACAGCGGCATTAAAGAGAACGGGATTTTCCAAATTCTCCTGCCAGTAGTGCGGACCGAATTGAGACGCCTCAGAAAGTACCGTTCCACCGTACGCACTAGAGTAAAATGGGACTCTGGGCGGACGAGGGTCAAGATGGCTAGCGACCAGGTCACGGTATTTGGCTCCCAAATCACGCATGTGGTCTAATTTCTCGGTATTAGCATCAAGCTTTGTGAGACTGCTCAAATGGGTATTGAAGCACATACCAGAATGATAAGCCATTTCCACCTTCAGTCTTCTAACGAATGTGTCCTCATTCGCCTTCTTGATCTTGGCCATCACCGTCTCTAAAGCATCCACATTCCCTGCCAAAGTGACACTGGATGGACTGTTTTCACAAGCAACACTAACTCCCGGAAGCAGAAAAGCAGCGACTTGTGCCTTACCTAGCCCAACAGCTGCCATCCCCCCCTTCTGCGGCGGGTCCTTACAGACATGACCGCGGTAGAAGGCAATGGTAATGGCTTCTGTTTTCGTCAAAGATCTGGCTGAGTATGAAGCAGCTATTTCGCCACTGGAATGCCCAACGACAGCAAATGGCTTGACGCCCCATGATTCTAACAGGTCTACAAGTCCGATCTGTAGAGCAGTACAGATTGTTTGAGAATATTCTGGTTGTGACAAGATTTTTCCATCATCTGTGTGGCAAAGAACATCTGTCATTTCTATTAGTATGGTTCACTTTTGGTAAGTGGCTTGATATGTGTCAACTTGCCTTCAATAGACCAAGAGGGGGCATGTTCAAGGGTCTTTAATACACGGTCCATGGATCGAATATTCTCTAGGAAGGATGGAAACTCCAACATCAAATCACGTCCCATATGTACCCTACACTCTTTAGGGATGACACGCGATGACAACTTTGGAAAGAGCGAATAAAGGAAGGAAGACATACCACTGGGCTCCTTGTCCTGTAAACACGAATGCAGTTTGGTTCAAATACCTGCAGGGCGCTGCGGCAGTCTCAGACAGCAGCTGACTCCCATTTGAGACACAAAAAGCTCTGTATTTTAGTCGCTCTCTTCTCTCAGAGAGATTATAGGCAATTTTTCTCAAACGATCGGGGAACTTGGCTAGATAATTTTGATGTTTTTTTACCATCGACTTTACAGATTCCGGATGACCAGCGGAGAAAATCAGTAGTTCTTTCCTCTGGCTCTGGTCATTGACCACTGGTGGGATTGACTTTGGTAATCCTAGGCCGAAGGAGGCAGCCGAATCTAGAATAAACTGGATGGTAGAGTCAGTGGGCGCTGTTATATAATACAGAGATTCATATTACATGGACGTTAGATCCACCAATGCCGTAAGAGTTCACACTCAGTCGCTCAGCACGATCCTTGGGCCATGGGCAAACCTTCACCGGAACCTGTAGCTTTGCTGTTTCCCATGAAACTATAACTATTAGCAGGATGTGGAAAGCAGGCATAAAGGTAACTTACTCGCTGGATTGGGTGTCTTGAACTTGATATTCGGGATGATAGTCTGGTGTTCTAGCGAGACCACCGCTTTGACGAGACTCGTGAGAGCTGCGGCGCCTTCACTATGACCCAGGTTTGGTTTGACCTGCGACCTTGGTAAGTTTTCATAAGGCTACATGGTAATATCCACGAAGCAACTAAAAAATACGTACCGCGCCAATGTACACTCCTTCCTTGCCGAAACACCTAGCAATTGCCTCTGCCTCGATTGGATCACCCGTGGCTGTCCCCGTGCCGTGTGCCTCTACCATTGCGGTCTGAGAAAAGTCTAGGCCAGCAATCGAATATGCCTCACGCATGGCTGCCTCGTGAGAGTCGGCATTCGGGGTACTGAATCCGAGTGTCCTTCCATCAGAATTGCTGGATGATGCTCGAAGAATAGCCCGGATGGGATTGCCATCTCGAATCGCCTCGTCAAGCCGCTTGATATATATCGCTAACACAGCTTCTCCGCGAGCATAGCCGTCTGCCGCTGCATCAAATGACTTGCACGATCCTTCCGGGGATAGTGCTGCTTGAATACTCATGGCGACCGTCATTCCAGGTGCGAAGATCAGGTTTGCTCCTGCCACGATCGCCGAAGTGATGTTGCCTCTTTGGATCTCCTGCATCGCCTCATGTAGGCCGACTGCGGCTGACGAACATGCGGTCTTCACCATCACACTGCACGTGGTCAATATACATACGCTTCCGGGAGGGGTCCGAGATATGGCTCACCTCGGTCCCTTTAGGTCATATTCGTATGAAATCCGATTGGCGATTGCATAATCCAGCGCGCCGATCAGTCCGTAGGAGCTGTTGAAACTGGCATCCTTTTGTCGCATATCCTGCCAGTCCTCTCCAAACAAGCCCACATATGTTCCAACCTTCTTTCCCCGCCAATTTGTCTCGCCAGCGCTTTCGAGAGCTTCACGAACTACTTCCAGGGACAGTCTTTGATTGGGGTCCAGGTGAGAAGCCTCAGTCGCCGTGATTTTGAATGTAGTGGGATCAAAATTTGACAGATCGGCGTCAAGGAAGTAGCCATGTCGCGTGATTACTGTGCCTTTTTTACCATGAGGACTGAAGTGGGCGTCGACATTGTATCGATTGGGGGGAACAATAGAGCGAGCATCTTTCTGGTCGATGAGGAAATTATAAAGCTCTTCCTCGTGGCGGATCCCGCCAGGCAATCGCATTCCCATGCCGCAGATAGCGATAGGGACACTCGACCCTGGGGGTATTGGCTGGAACATATTGAGAGTCTGGAGAGGCAATAGAGGGTCAATGGTGGCGAGTCTTGGAAATGAGAATTTGAGCGGAGGAAATGAGAATCCGAGTTACGCTCAAGTGCTCTGATAGTTCACCTTACGTGATGATATACTAGTAAGTATTTAAGGCCTCAATTGACTGAACAAACTTGGAAGTCGGCTAAGGCTAGACTAGGAGCTCCCCCGCCCCTTTAGTACTTGCTTTCATCATCGCTCTTCTATGTACACATAGTCAAATTCTGCTTTCCTCTTTCCGTGATCATAGTGGATTGTATGTACTGTAGTACGGGCGGAGTATGTTGATCATACCTGGGAATACGGAGCGGAGCGGACATCTGGATGAATCAGATCGATAAGGACATGTGGGCGCCCTACAATCTAGGTAGATAAGGATTACTCGCTTTTCAGCCTATGTAAAGTTTTAGCGTCTCCATTGAATACCCACGGACACGTATGTAATACAGTAGGATCGAAGTCTGTTAATGATACAGATCGCTGAGGAGTGTGGATACCCTTTGAAGCCGCTAACGATTTGCTTTTCCACGTAGAAGATTTTAGCATTTCCACCACATAGCACGTGTGGGACAGTGGGGCTGACATATCGATCTTGCACAGATCAAATTAGATCGCCAAGCAGTGTGGGCGCCCCAAAATCTAACGATTTGGATACTGTAATAGTATCTACTTGCAGGGTAGAAGGCCTGTCAATCAGGTAGAAGAAGAGCACTAAGTCCAATTAATTCAAAGACTGTTTCTTGAGGGTCCCCTTAAGAAGCCTCTGCCTTCAAGTTATTTACATACGCCCTCCTAGAGGGCCTCCTACCCGACCAGAATACATAGTACAAGGGCCAACTCAGCTGAGGCCTGGTCTTGTGTAACATAAAGGAGGGGTAAGACGAGGTCGTGGTTCGGGCCGGCTTCCCCGTAGAAACCCCATCGTTGAGGTCGCCAATCCTGACCGATCCATCGGCATCAAAGGGGAGTAGAGGTAACCATAGAAGGAAAGTAGAAGGGAACGCATAACGCGCGTAAAATACTCACGTACCCACACACTTTCAAGCCACGTTCCAAGATTTTACATGTAGATCTGTACATCTGTCTACACTCAATGTTTTCCGGACCAGGCCTAAGAATAAAAGGTTGTACAGTTTAAAGGTTTGAACCTTGGAAATGCTGTCCATTGCATGGCCCGCCGCTTAGCATTGGTCAATTGGTTAATTGAGTGCTTGGACATTCTAGAGATACTATATAAATATATATGAGCATTCTTGGCTGCTCTTTCAATGCCGTCTATCATTTCCCACGTAGGAGAATGTGTATGCAGGTCTCGGGCCTCCGAGTCCCAAGCACTATTCGCTTCAAATTTCCACATACATTCAGGTGTAAAATGTTTGAATCACCGCCCTTTCTACCACATATTCTACCGGCGAAATAATTTCGTGGTAGCCAATATCCGGTGCACTGCCCCATATTTTTAAAATCAATACAAGTAGACGAAAAAAGCATTGCTATTATTCCTTAATTCCTGATTATATTTATCTTCTTAACCTTGTTCGTGGCAGATACGGGAGATCGGATTCTGTTCAGAAAGGCGGTATCAAAAACAGTGTTTCAAACACTTTACACTCCACTGTATGCATACCTGTGCTCTGTATGTAAGCTGTATGCAAATTGTAAATCTTTGAATCTGCTGGGGTCGGGGACCGGTTTCCACCTCTCAGAATCTCGATATGGAAGAAGAGACGGGTGTTGATCACATTCTCCTCTCCGTGTAGATACCGGTCTTCTGCCGGTGTCATCAAGACCAATATTTCTCCAAGAAAAGGCGTCTTCCTTCTGCTATCCAATTCTCATTCCCACTCATTTCAACGTCGAATAGATGCTCCGCAGATAATAGATCAAATCTGACTGGACTGGCTGGAGAAATTTCCTTCAACCGTTGTACAAAATTCGATGAACAAAGAGGAGGGGCCTGGCGGAAGCATCCATAATTAGCAGGCGGACATCAAGGATTACAAAAGAAAAAACTGACTAGCGTGTCGTTCATCCCATGAATAATCCAAATCGGAATAATATCAGTCATTTTGCCTTCTGGGTTGTTGTGTTGCTGTGTGACTTTTGCTGCCATCCTCTTAACCATATTGAACATGTCTTTATTGCCTCCACCTTTCCCCTTGAGCAACCGGCTAAAGTAGCACTGCTGTGTCATGCATAGGAACAGCTCCCACATATCAGGAGTCGGTTCTTGCCACGTCCGTATGCTGCCCGATTGCTGTAGCTTCTGCATGTATTTCCGAATCAATATTTCGGCCTGCCTGGGAGGAGGTGGTCTCATGCCCATAATCGTCCTAGGACGCGGGATCCTGAGCTCGGGAACATCAAGATCAAGTGGCGCATATGTGCAAATGACAGCCTGGATGACAACTTGAACATCTGTGCACCCGCTTATAGCTGCCTCTCGGTCATGGCCAGGCCCATCAGATAGAATAGATGATAGCTCAAGGCCCGAATATACCGCCAGGGAGCCCCCGGAGCTCTCCCCGCAACACAATATCCGCGAGAGGTCAGGGATAAACCCCCACGAATGTTCTTCCGCAATTGGGAGCAGAGCACACTGCACCCAGCGCCAGAAATGGTCCACGTCACTGAGGATATCGGCCATGCTGGATTCGGGAAGGAGTCTATAGTCGGGGCGAATAATGATCGCGTCATGGGCTTGTGCGAGGTCCAGAAACCATTGTGCGAACCAGGGCTCATAGCGGCGGTGGCCCAGGATGAAGCCACCGCCGTGGAAATGGACCATCACTGGACATTTCTGCTTGTGATTGGAGCGAGATAGGAAATGAGTTGGAATGAAGAGCGTGGCGTCGAGCGAATGGTTTGCCACGATGCGGTAAGGAAGATCGAAGAGGGTGAAGGGATCGAAACGAGACATCGGCATAAAATTTCTGAAGTGTTTTGCGCTTGAATGTAGATTGGTGTCTGGAAAGGAGAAGAATAAGAACGAAAGAGCAAGGAGCCTCGGTGATGATGCAAAGCTCACTTTGCGTGCTTTGAAACCGCGAGAGTCGCCGGAGCCGGCGCCGTAGTTAGTGCCCTGGCTCTACTCCGTAGGCATCATTTCCAATGCCTAATTTTCGTATTAATACAGCTGTTGGGTACGCCTGGATATGACCTGTCGATCCCATAAGGTGGAGAATGTGGAGCCATATCTTGTACCTTCAAACTTAATCTTCGCACACTGCCAAGAATCATGATTCAGTAGTTTGATAGACTTGGAATATCAGTGGATACTCTGTGGACTTCAAATATTGGCTTCGATTTCTTGGTAATCTATGTAATGCGGCCATCCAGCACCTACAAGCCGTATTTCCAACCCACATGACTCTCAAACAAGGGATATTTCCGCTTTTCAGATGGCAGCTCTCCCTCCACTGCCACGGGTTCCATAGAGCTATCGAGTTGGCACGGGAAAGGTTGAATCTTCGCAAAGACCAAATTTTTGGCTGGGTTTGACAACGTTGGAAGATATCATCCGACGACCAGGCACACTCCAACAGATAGACTGATTGAGCCCACAGCCCTTTTTTTCTCAACGTACACTTAGTGCACACAATCTACCTTTGTGACCCAGTGATTCATCTTCCATTGACATTCAGACTTGTGCCATGACCATCAACAAACCCAGTCTAACCTTCAACCCACTGCACCCCACATTTGGAGCTGAATGCAAGGGTGTGGACTTCTCTCAACCAGTGTCTACAGAGACCATTGACCATATTCGCGCCGCGATGGCCAAATATGGAGTCCTGGTATTTCGCAATACTGCTCTCGACGATACGAGCCACACGAACCTGGCGCGTCAATTCGGCAAGCTAGATGTTTCGACGGTGGTGAGGAAATCCGGGACACCGTATCGACTGGGTCCCGAAAGCCAATTGACTGACATTGCGAATGTGGACCAGAATGGCAATATCGTGTCAGTGAATAGTTTACAAGCGCAAGCATTCCGGGGAAATGGTCTCTTTCACGTGGATTGCTCCTTCAACCACCGTCGAGCGGGATATTCTCTCCTCCGTGCCCACCAGTTGCCTCCTCCAGGGAGTGCCGGTGAGACCGAATTCGCTGATACCCGAAGCGCATATGCGGATCTGAATGAGAATATGAAGACTGAGATCCATGACTATGTCTTGTGGCATTCTATACTGCATAGTCGAATCTTGGCAGTTCCGGATAATTGGATCTTCAAGATTGTCGACTGGACATTGGATATGCATGGCCTCCGTCATCTTCCCTATCTCATGATTTTAGTATGTTACCACCTTTCTCTACCGAGTCAGAAAACTTATACTAGTCTGTGGCTGATACCTTGTGCTCATCGCTTTTAGTTGCTAACCATTCGCTTCCTGGGATTTTGGGTTCGCCTGGCGGATACTACTGTGGTTTCAATGTGCTTGTTCGGCCTACTCCGGCTCCTTCTGTTGCGCCAGGCACCGGGTCCCTTGGCTGCCCGCGCTCCTCATCGGCTGGTACAACTACACAAACCGAGCAGCCGGATGAACCTGTACATTGCGGCACATGCATACCGTATAGAGGGGTGGTCCAAGTCAGCCAGCAAACCCGTGATCGAGGCTTTAATGCAGCATGCAAGTCAAGAGAAATATACTTTCAAAGTGGATTGGGAAAACAACGGGGATATGATTATATGGGTACGCAATATCGAACTATCCGGTCCGCTTGAGCAACATCAGATGTTGATTTCCACAGGATAACACGTGTGTAATGCACCGATCATCCGGAGGCTCATACCAGGGACGGTATGTCCGCGATATGCGAAGAGCCACCGTCTATGACTCTACCTGAGCGCCTAGGTGACTTATCAGTATCAATACATTCGTATTCGCGGCATTGAGTCAGTCAGATTTCATGTGGCAAAGAGGGAAACACAAACTCAAGTTAGACCTCATTTGTACCTGATTTTCTTTTCTTCGCGAACTTCCTCCCTCTCTCTCCCCCCCCCCTCTTTTTGAGTGGTGTGAAATACTATTGAGCAATCCCGAATCCTTCTGAGGTCTTTGGGAGCATATGCAGAAGTATAGACTTGTAGGAGTCCCGCAACAGGCCCACAGGTGAGACCTGTCATACATACACTACCTAATGTGGGAGAGGAGGCAAGCGTAAAGAAATGACCTCCGAAGCTTTTTCCGAGTAATAAAAAAGCGGTCAGGACTGAGAAGGTCAAGGAAGATCTCCTTTTCAAAATTACCGCTAGCGACGACTAGCGCTGCTAGCTAAAGCGATGGTGATAAGAGCATCGTCGATCCGAACTCAACCAAATTTGGAATTTCCAATTGGCCGATCTAGTCTGATGCAGCTGCAGATCCCTCAGAAGGAGTCTTCTTGTAGCCTGTTCTTAGGTCACATGTACGAGATGATTATAAAGATCGCTGCTGTATTAGGATTGGTATTAGCAAAGGCCGAAAATGGATCATTTAGGCGGTAAGCAATTTCTCTAAAGTTCCCTTCCTCCAAACGAGACCAGTTACTTTCTGCATTCTTGAAATTTTTAGTCGAGTTACCACCACCCTGGATTGGTGGCAGTTATTTGTGTGAGAATTCTCATCATGGCAGTCGATGATAGTTTTCTGGCTCTGGTGGCCTTCACCCTCACCGAGGCCTATTTCCTCCATCGCACCTTAGTCACCCACGAGACCTTGCGCGCCGTGCTTCTCAGCTTGCTAGTCGTCAATGTTCTTCTCAAATGCGTCTATACTATATTCATTTGGCCGTTCTTCGTCAACCCGCTGCGTCATCTGCCAAAGGTTCCGGTCAGTATTACTCCGCGCGAGCATTATCAGAACACAGCAAGAATCGCTACTAAGAAATGCTTTGTAGGGCTTCTTGAGCAATCTCAAGTTCTTTGACTTCCCCCGTAGGTGCAGACCACTGCTCTGGATGAAGACCATCCCAAATGAAGGGCTAATCCACCTGCACGACATCCTCGGCCAGTCCTATCTGCTTGCCACCAACCATCAGGCCCTGGCAGATGTCATGAGCACAAAGGTCTATGACTTTGAGAAGCCCTGGCGTGCGCGCAACTTCATCGCCCGCATCCTGGGCTTCGGTCTGGTCCTGTCTGAGGGCGCTTCTCACAAGAAGCAACGGAAGGCGCTGACTCCGGCTTTTAATATCAAACATATTCGCGCCATGTACTCCCTAATGTGGGATAAGACCAACCAGCTTTTGGAGGAGATGGAAAAAGAGTTGAGACAGTGTCCGATGCAGGGGACTAACGTGGCTGATGGGGAGGGTACGCTCGAGATGGGGGTGTGGGGGAGGTATGTGCTGTCCTATTCCCTCTGTCCAAATGTTTGCATGACTCTTTAGGTACCCTGGTATGTACCAAGGTACCTACCTGCTCATAATGAACTGTGTAGGGAGCCATATTATACTGAACTATCTAAAACCTTTCATGGCACCTAAAAAATAATGCAAATGGATGATCAGAGGGGGTGAATTGTCGCGATGGTTCGGTATACTGATGATGTTTCTCTAGTCGTTTAACTCTCGATATCATCGGCCCTGCTGCCATGGGAAGAGACTTCCGCTCGCTACAGAAAAATGACAATCCTGTGGCAGAAAGCTTTTTCCGTCTTCGTGAGCCTAGCTTCGAGAAGCTGGTGTTTTTTGCCATAAATTTCATCCTGCCACAGTGGCTGGCGCGGCGTTTGCCCTTGCGCATGAATAAAGTAATCGACGACGAGACTAATTTCCTTCGAGATCTCTGTCAAGATATTGTCAACGATAAGCGACAAGCCTTGAACGTATCTAAGAATTTAGTCAAGGATTTTGAGGCTGATATCCTTGGTACGATGATGCTAGGAGGAGACTTTTCGAACGCAGAGCTAGTGGATCAGATGTTAACATTCCTGGCCGGGGGAGTAAGTTTCACTTTCCATTTTCAATATTCGAATCGATGTGTGATTGATTACATTGTCCAGCTAGTTAAATCAACATTATAATATCTGCTAACTCCAAAGCTTCTAGCACGAAACCACTGCGCGTGCTATCACATGGGCCTGCTACCTACTCACCCAACGTCCAGATATCCAAGAGCGTCTCCGCTGTGAAATCCGGGCAAAGATCCCTTGCGCCAGCAACCCAATAACTTACCAAGACCTCGAATGCTTACCTCTACTAAACGGCGTCTGCCAAGAAGTCCTACGCCTCTACCCCTCAATCCCCGCGACACTTCGAGAATCTATACGCGATACTGTAATCGCTGGCACTCGCATCCCTAAGGGCACACGTGTGATCTTGTGCCCGTGGGCAATCAACCGAGCCCCAGTCTTCTGGGGCGATAACGGCGAGGAGTTCTTGCCGGAGCGGTGGATCGACAAGGACAAGAATGGTAACCTGGTGCCGAACAACCATGGTGGTGCATCAACCAATTTCGCGCAGATTACTTTCCTACATGGTCAGCGGTCGTGTATTGGGAAGGACTTCGCGCGTGCGGAGCTGCGGTGTGCGGTGGCGGGTGTGGTTGGCCGGTTTGCATTTGAGATGCAGGATCCGAAGCAGGAAATCCATATTGCTGGCGCGTTGACGACGAAGCCTATTGAGGGGATGCATTTGCGGATGCGCCGGCTTGATGCCTGGTAGCCGCCAGTCTGGCTGGAGTCACTTCCGGCTGGGAGTCCCCTTTCTGGCTGGGAGTCCCCTCTCTGGCTGGAGTCACCTGATGTAGATGGATGGATACTTTTTTTATTGCCTGCCTACATTTTCGATGTCGTTTCAATGAATCTTTATGGACAAATTGCAGAGCTCGTGGCGGGGACAGCGTTGGCTTGCATTATGCGATCCTTCATGACAGATGACTAATTGGCGGAATAGGGGCGCTTTTCTGACTATGTTGACGGAAAACCTTGGCACCTGAGGAGGGACTCCTGTCTCTTTTAAATAGGTCGTTATTTTCAATCTCAAAGAGGTTGCGCGAGACTTTACCTACCAATGGCCCTGACTCCTAATGCTTTTCCTTGTCTTCACTGGGAGTCTCCCTAACTTTGGGGCTATTGGGCTTGTATATTTCAGAAGATTCTTGCATTTGGAGAATCTCGATTCATCCTCAACGTGTCTGCGCTTGAAGGCAAGACAGCCCCGACAGGAGCCCCGACCGGCGCCCTGGCCCTTGATCTACCATCTACTGCCACCTCCGACAATAATACCCTGATGGAGGAATCCGATGTTAGGCTAGAGCCTGGTCACGCCGAAGCTTCCAAGGACTGGCAATCTGCAGACTTACCTCTTGACGGAGGGTTACAAGCTTGGCTGATGGTTCTGGGCGCATGGTGTGCATCGTTTTGCACCTTCGAATGGCTCAATAGTACGTTAACCTATGAATATGGGATCGTGTCTGCTTCCTATGATTGGACTATCCGTCTCTGGGGCACAGCCACAGGTACCGCGAGGCGGATACATAATTCTGATTTAATAGTAACAGCCCTCTCATTCTTGGCTGATGGCCGTTGTCTGGACTCTGATCGTGGTTCGCTCTCCTTAAATAATGAGGACTCCGACTCCTTCAGCAACATAATATTCGTGCACGAAAAATGGATAAGCCGCAACGGGCAGCAGTTGATTTGGCTTCCACCACAGTATCGGCAACATGTGCACTTACCAGAGAGACCACTGTGATACTCGGCCATGCATCAGGAGTCTTGGCATTCCTCTGGTTGACCAAGCACGGCTAACCTTGTTGTAACTACTATGATTATGATTGCTTTGTCCCTATCTTTCCTCTTCCCTAGTCTCCTTAATACCTAATGTCTTTGTAAAAGACGGGCCTKGGAAAGTGTTTCCCCAGCACTTCATCATATTCCCGCAGAAGCTTCCAGCTTCCAGCAGATTCTAGATTGCAGGCTGTGCAATGAGCACGGTGACACCCAAGTGATGGCTTTCTAGACTCCGTGGGTTGGTTCATTGATTTCATTTTCCCTGGCCCCTCGCAAAAAGAGCGATATACAGGCTACCACAATTATATATATATCCAAGTACGTACATGTAGAGTATTCTACTTCCTAAAAACAGACTTAAGGGCCTCAAGGCCCACCATAGCCCAATTGCTGCTCCTAGTTTTAGGCTGCCCTCATAGCGCGCGACTCCAAAACTGCTGTGATGCCTCAGCGAATCTAGCACAGCCGTGACCATCCTAGCATGTGGGACAGTGACTGGTTTACCTTTCTTACCTTTAGTTAAGCCTCCCAGCAGACTTAAGACACTGCTAAATGCATCCCCCACTTCACTCTGTAACTTCCTTCCCATATAATTATAGCTTCGAAAATGCTTAGCACAGCATGCACTACACCACTACTTTATGGACTGCGGTGGCACTGCAGCCCTAAGCCCTTTTCAGCTTCCGCAGCCATATCCCCACCCAATAGTGACAGCCCTGAGGCACTAACATCTGTTCATTAATACCTTACCGTACTTTCACCCACACTACTATATAAAGGATGCAAAACCCCTTTCCGCATGGACTTAACCCCTTACATTATAACGACACATGGCCAATATTTCTAGAAAGCTACCTGATAGTTTATCTCCTCCTTTAAGCAATAGCCTGGCAGCATGCTAATTATGCTAAAGGCACTGCTCATGGTACAGTATGCATGGTAACTAGCAAAATAGGATATCTTATATAAGATATATGTGTACCTTTGCAATCTCTCTCTAAAGAATAAAATAAATTCCTTACAGCTCTTCAGCTATAACTAATAAAGTAAAAATAATATATGGTTATATCTTCGCCTCTATATTAAATAGAGAATGGCTGTTTCCAAGGAATAAGGATGGCACTTACTTAAGTAGACTAGTAGTTATCAAAAGTAGACTGGTTAAACCCAACCCAGAAACCCGAACCCAACCAGGCCCAAACCCGCCTTAGGCTGGGTTTGGGTTGAGAATCCTTAACCCATGGGCTGGTTAGGTTCTGAGAACTAGAACATATTTAGGTTTTGGGTTAAAAAATAGGTTAGGTTAGATTAGGTTAGATTAGGTTAGATTTATCATTATAAGAGTAGTAATAAATATATTAATATTATACTAAGATGCTAATTTAATGTCTCCTATTAAGTATTACCTAATATTTATCCTATTTATACTAGTAATGAGTCAGTTACTATAGAATCTAGGGCTGATATAATGTTATTTAAAGTTTACAGGCATATCTTTAAGCTAAAGATACTAATAGTAATATTATCTAAGCCTAGAGTTGCATTTGGTCTGAGTTCGGGTGAGTCCAACCCCAGTTGGAACCGAACCGCTGCAATTTCAAGTCTAAATTTTAGAAATTAGAATCATGATCCATTCCAATTTAGTTTGAGTTTAACTGTAAAACTCAAAGCTTGGCGCAGCTAAACTATTTCTAGCTAAGTCATATTACTTACTAACTAACCATAGTTAGATTCAGTGAGGGTTCAGATTAGATAAACCACTATTTAAAACTAACATTTTACAACCATAAGATGTTATAATATCTCCTTATATACTGATTATTATAATTTAAAATATTATTTATATAAGACTCTATATGCGAAGGTTTTATCCTGACTTAATAAGTAATAGATTTAAGCTATATTAGGTAAGTTTATAGTTTATAGCTTAAAATATAATAAAATACATGAATATATATATAAATGTCATGATTATTCATGCTCACTGGAGACCTTTATATATTATATTAGTTCTCAGCCTCTCTTATATCTAATAAGATAATCTAAGTATACTAAATCTAACTATAGTTAGATTAAGAAAGGACTATATATCATACACCTATATAGTTTTAATAAAACTAAGAATAATATAACTGAGTAGTGTGTGACTAAGTAGTATGTAACTAAATAGTATTATAAGATACTAAATCTAACTATAGTTAGATTAAAAAAAGGAATAGAATATAACAGAAATATCTTTAATACTTTTAGATAACTAAGTATAGGATAATGTAACTAAGTAGTATTATAAGATAAAGTAGTTATGTAGGCAGTGTACTTAAGACACTAGATAATCTTCTTAGTAGTCTTGGCCTTCTTATAGAAGATAGGCTTAGTCTAACTACTATAACTACTCTACTTATAGTTAGAATAATGCTTACCCTAGTTCAACCAGGAGGCCTTGCTAGCCTTATACTAGGTGACCTTGTGCTATATATACTTATAGCACTCCTTAGAGCTATAATACATTCAGTAGGTTTTAGAAATATTAACTATTTTAATAGAGTTGCTGGATTATAAGATTATTAGTTATTAGATCTACTATAAGAATCTAACCAGGGTTAGATTGAGGGAGGAAGTAATATAAGAAGTCTTTAGACTTACAGTATATCCTAGCAGGTTTTAGGAATATTAACTATTTTAACTGAGTTGCCAGATCATGAGATTATTAGTTATTAGATCTACTATAAGAATCTAACCAGGGTTAGATTAAGGGAGGAAGTGATATAAGAAGTCCTTAGACTTACAGTACATCCTAGTAGGTTTTAGGAATGTTAACTATTTTAACTAAGGTGGCCGGATTGCAAGATTATTAGTTATTAGATCTATTATAAGATACTAAATCTAACCACAGTTAGATTGAGAAAGGAAAAAACCATCATATAAATATCTTTAATATATAATATAACTAGGTATGTGATAATGCAACTAAGTACTATATAACTAATTAAGTTACTATGTAACTAACTAAGTCACTATATAACTGACTAAGTTACTATATAATTAACTAAAACTATATCACTAACTAAGTAGTAACCACTAACTACCTAACTATATAAGATACTAAATCTAACTATAGTTAGATTTAAATAGACTACATATCATACCTGTTTAATACTTTTAATGTAACTGAGTATGCACCTAAGAACTATTTTTAACTAGCTAAATACTATGCAACTAACTAAGTCCTAAGGTAAGGTAAGGTATTAGGTGGGATTATATAATATTAATTAGCTAATTATATATTATACAACTTAATATCAAAGAAATTAATATCATAAAGTGAATTTCTTTAATATTTACTACCTCTTAAGTTATAAACACTAGTTATAAATAAAGAACAGTAACTTAATAGTAAATATAAATAAGTATGAGGTATAGCACAGTATTATAAATACTTATCTACTAATAAATATATAGGCTATTAAACATTCTCTTCTTTTTTCTTTAGAATTTTATAAAACTGTAGTTTTACTAAAATTAGCCTAGCTCCTGAATAATCTCCTAGATCTAACTATGGTTAGATTTAACCACACCTAAGGTATGTACCCTATACTTTATTTCTTACTTAAAATCTATCAGCCTTATCTGCATGGGTAAATCTAACTATAGGACAATTCGTATTTACCAAAGGGGCGCCGTTTTTGGCAACCGCCCTCTTCCGGTTTAGCGCCCGTCTCGCCCGACCCCGACACGGTTTAGTGCGTAGCGGATCGGGTTTAGTGCGCGACACTATCCCTGAAACAGAACTGCCGCCTCGCGCCGCCTTCATCGCTGCCTCCCAACTATATAAGGCCGCTGGTGCGTCGCCTCATGGTCCCTCCCTCCTTCGTCTGCTACTGCCATCGCAATTCTCTCTTTTCGCGCGGCTCGCGCGGCCCACCGGCCGCCCCCCTGATCCCTGTTGCATCTTCGGAAATGAGTGCTCAGCCCCCTTCTCTTCTCTCCTCATCCTTCGGCGACCCCGACTGGCTCAGGCAACCAGTCGATTCCACCAGCTGAGGTAGCGAGTCGCGCGTAGACCAATCCCACTGGGAGCCACGAGACGATCACTGGCGGTCAGCCTGCCGTCCACGATGCACAGCCCTCACGCAGATTCCAATTGGGGCAACTTGGCCTCCTTGGCAATGGTCCCCTTTTTCGCGCTGGGGCGCTTCAGCTGAACGGTGGCTCCGTTTCGCATCCTGTCCTGGGTAGGACAACCCGTACGCCAATAACAGAAATGCCTCATGTCGGACGATGACGTTGCAGGCCCGTTCGCGGCGTCATTGTCACTCCTCCACAACGCGACGCTTTCAACGATTGGCGGACTGGATTGGCGAGGTTGCATTCGGACTTTGACCAACAAGGAACGCCTGCCGCGGAATTGCGATTGCTCCACTGGCTGCGTGTTCCACATCGTATGACTTTCGTTTTTCCGGCCATTCGAAGCCCCATCATCGGAAGTGGTGAAGCGGTGGGCTGATTTCAGCCCGTGCCTGGGAAGCTACCTCGAGGTGTTTGGAACTTTTGTGAGAGAGGATGAGCCAGCCCGGTCTTCCCTTGCTACGGTGCTGATCTACATTGTGATATCAGGTGCTGCGAGGTTCCATTCCATTTACTTATAAATGATCACCCCCTCTTGTCGTTCTGCGTTCAAGCAAACCGCCCTTGGCTGCTTTGTAGCAGCATCAGCTTCCCGCTACCCTGTGCAGTTGAAAAAACTCTCTCCGAAGACCCCGAGAAGTCATGATCAGCCTTGACAATATTGATTTCTACCACCATCCCCCTCCTCCCAAACCCCCCGCGCACACTTCGTCCTCTTCCGGCTGGAAGTCATACCATGTACCCTCTGCTCCCCAGTCCATTCCATTTTCATATCCCCTTTCACATCCTCTTCCCCCCAAGCCTCCTACCGCTATAACGGCGGTCACAACTTCCACGGTCAAAGGCCCCTTCCAATGCGCTGTCCCTCGCAATATATTTGATATTGAGCTTGAGAATGTCTCAACTCGAGAAAACAGCCCCGTTGTGAGAGACACGGACTTGGAGGCGGACCATGAAAGTGGGTCCCAAGCCGGAAATGGTCTTGGTGATCGATGCGAGGATGCTTCTCCTAGTCTTGGTGCGTGGGAAATATCTGTGACTATATTCGGGGACTCTCTGCTGATGCTCGACGCAGTAGCTAGTTCAATGACGTCGGAGCTCCCAGTTATACCAGCCGGCACCGATGACTGCGAGGGAGGAGGGAATCTATTGGTTACCCGAAGAAGGGCCTTGCGAGACCAGCTAGATACATGGCCACAGTCACCAGGTGATGCTCTCTGCTCTGGTCCGATCGCCACAGGCGCAGAAGCAGACTCGGGCTACTCAAGTGGTGTGTGGCTTATGCCCCTCTTACTCTTGGCTTCACTAATATATTGCAGGACAATCTTTTAGCGCAGTCGATAATTTACCGGGTGGCTCAGACTGTCTCCCATTGTCCTTATCTTGGTGCGACGCCGAAAAGCAGACAACAACGATAGACGGTGCTCCAAAGCATCGCAACTCTCAGCTACGTTCTCCAGCCTTTTCGTACCATGCGTCACCTGAGAGCCAGTGTCGCGCTCGACCTGGTCAACACCATGGAATCCCGTTTGAGGACTCACCGTCCGAGGCAGCATGCTGTGGAGAGCAGACGAGAGCCTTGACGGTTAGTGCGTCTAATTCGCCAACCGCCACGCCCAGTATTGCCTCAAGCAGAAACACCAGTACTGGCTGTGAAGATAACATCTGTGTCCTCCCTAGCCTGAACTTGCAACCACAACGTAAGGGAAAGCAACCGAGGTCAAACTCGCCTCCCCGCCGTGTACTTCGCTCTCGAGTGAATACAGAACGCAACCGGCGCGATTGGCCACGTTCTGTTGCTGTGGTCATCCCAGTCCGTCGATCGGCCAGCTCGATGGCAGGAACTTCCAGGGACTCCCTTGTGCAGCCGTCACACCGTTTTCACCAAGCCAGTGCGAGTTGCGATAGCGAAGAAGACCAGCCAACAGACAGCTTCACCGGAAACTATTCTCTGCTCACAAGAAAAGCTGCCGCTGATGGCGGAGAACACCCGCGAAAAAGGCGTCGGCGGGAACTAGCCTCAAAGACTGCTCAGGACACCTCGGTTTCCGCTCGCTGTCTCTCCGATGGCTGCATAGCCGCACATGAAGACCCATCTGGCGTTGACTTTCTCACTAGTCCTGGTGAGGCTCAGGAGATTTTCGGCCGCGGCATCATCCGTATTCAACCGCACGGTCAGCGGCACGCATACTTCCTTACATTCCTTCCAGATGCCGTTGATCGTCTGCCGTCTCACGTCCAACCCCGGTCGGCCCCCGACCGGCCAGTATGCACCAAACGTGCTCCCCACCCCTCGTCAAAAGCACGTGCAGTCGAGAAAGGAAACGTGCAATTAGCCCCCCGCCAGACCCAGAATCCTAGGAAAAGGAAGCCATGGCTACCAGAGGAAGAGGAACTCTTGGTAGAGTTAAGAAGGAATCGGGGGCTTCCTTGGTCAACTGTAACAAGATTGTTCTCGGACCAATATCCGGGAAGAAGTCAAGGTTCTATTCAGGTATATTGGAGCACAAATCACAAGAGGCTACTATAAAGGCTTTCCGCACACTGTTCTCTCCCTCGCGTGAGCTGCGGGTGGCCTTTTTCCACGGCCGATCGGACGATTCACTATTTTATCTCGGATCCTTGGTACCTAAAGATGGTAACCTCAGACCGCACCATTTTATTCTTGGGCCATTCTGCCTCGCAACGGTTATACCCATTCTGTCAATCTTTCAGTGGGCCCCGTTGATCCAGAAATACTCTGGACGCGGATCTTATGCGGAACAACATTGAACCCGCCCGCTGTCGCTATTACTCCTAGAGTTACCCACTTTGATAACTTAACACTATAACAGTTGTTTTCAATGAGCCTCATGATATCGTCAGCAATATGTCGTTCTTCTACTTTCTCATCTTCATCGTACCAGCCTCCAAGCTCAGGGGCATAATGTAGAGCGGACCATTTTGTATCCGCCACCGACGCAGTCGCCTTTCAGCTTGTCCTTTTGGAGTCGATACTTCAGCAAATGTCTAATTCTTTGGCCTTGGGGATAACGCTGACCATGTACTCACCTTCCTCACGCTCCACTTGTCTGATATCTCTGTCTGTCTCCATTGTATCTCTTCCGATCCAATGCCTGATGGCTGCAGCTGAAATATGATGCAGGACTAGCCACTAGCTATCGTGCTGGGGGTGTCTCGAGATGTCGGCGTCCAGTAATTTTCGTGCTCCGGAGGGAAAGCCACAACTTTTTGGAGAAGGCCTGTATCAACTTCTGCCATTATGATATTGTCGTTGCGAAGCGATAGAACCCAAATTTTTTGCCCTCTCTTTGTCTTCAAAGACATTTATGAATGGAGTGGGTCGTCGGTTGTAGTTGGTGCTGAATGGCAGAAATGATATTAGCAGCAGTATCCAGCGTATCCATAGACATCGACCATCCTGGTTTCTGTTTGAGGGTTAGATCCTAAAGCCCACTTAGTCTCCATTTGGCCGCCAAGATCAGACATGAAAGGTCTAGGTCGCAATACTATCGTTCAAAAATCTACGAGGACACTTTCCTTTCCTCTTTGAGTCATTGCCGCTTTAAAAGGGCGAGCCGGGTGAGTCAGGTGATTTGCTCACCTTCAGAGATGATTTGCTCACGCCTTGGAGGTGATTCCTTCACCATCTGTGGTGATTCGCTCACCTCTTCAACACCAACACTCACCCTTGGTCCCTTATCCTCCACGCCAGTTTCCTAGCTGCTTCGCCTACGCATTCACAATGCGTCGACTAGGACACAGGGAGCATGGCTCTGAGAAGTCAGGGTCCCCGCGGCCCCCCCGACAAAAATCGCGAAGCAGTTCTGCCTACCCTCCGTGACTTCTCTTACACTCCTTCGTCCTGATATCTCGCACCGCTTTGAAATCTGCTGCCTATTCCTTCTCTCAGTCTTGCTGTGAATATTGTTTTCCTCCGCTCCTTCGTGTTATACTGTATCTCTGTTCCGCAGAAATGCCGAAAGGAAAACAAATGATTGATAGACTGGCTGTTGCCCAAGCCAACGGCTATATTCGAGGAGCGAATCGAGAAAACGACCAACATCATTGTGCGACCTTCTACTCAAACGGATCCAAGGTTCTCCAGGAACGAGTTCTATCGGATTATATTGTGTTAGTGCCATCCATACTCCTTTAATATACACTCATTCATCTTACTGACCTTTGTCTCTTGAACACTTAGGTAGGCGTCCCAAGAGGATGAAAAACTCCGAGAAGAGGGCCTTCGTGAAGGACAGCTCGTAAATGATCAAGTAACTAGCTATGGACTATCAAACGGTTGCTCCATGATATCGGAGTAACTCCGCCACCTCAACTTTACCCTGTTTCAGAGATTCTTCCTCTTCCTCATTCATTTCCAGCCACGCCAGATCTTCCTTTGAGGCGGTCGCCTGTGCGGCCTGCAAAGCGCTGTTAAAGGGCCCGCCTTCTAACCTAAGATTCACCTCCGCTCCAGCCTCTATCAAAAGCTCAGCACAATCTTTTTGACCAAGGCCAGAGGCAGCAGCGAGTGCACTTCCATATTTTCCATTTGGAAGGCATTGATTAACGTCTGCTTTGGCGCCGATGAGGTATCTCACAGCTCCGAGATTCCCCATCGCTGCTGCTTTTGCGAGGGCGCTGCCGAAATATCCATCCTGCAGTGGCATGTTCACGTCTGCTCGTGCTTCCTGTACCAGGTACTTGACGACATCAACAGTTGATGCAGCAGTGAGAGCACTGCCAAAGCCTCCATGTTGGAGTTGCATGTTGACATCAGCCCCTGCTTCCATAACAAGGAACTTGACAATCTCAAGTTGTCCAATTGCAGCTGCTGCTGCGAGGGCGCTGCCATAGTTTCCACTTTGAAGTTACAGGTTAACATGAGCGCCCGCTTCCTGCACCAGGAACTTGACAATCTCAATGTCTTGCATTGATGCTGCAGCGAGAGCACTGCCATAGTCTCCATGTTCAAGTCGCATGTTGGCATCAGCCCCTGCTTCCTGCACGAGGAACTTGACAATCTCAAGTTGTCCGGTTGCAGCAGCTGCTGTGAGGGCGCTGCCATAGTCTCCATGTTTAAGTTGCAGGTTGACATCAACCCCTACTCCCTGCACCAGGAGCTTGACAATCTGGATGTCCTGCGTCGATGCTGCAGCGAGAGCACTGCCAAAGCCTCCATGTTTGAGTTGCATGTTGACATCAGCCCCTGCTTCTGTAACAAGGAACTTGACAATCTCAAGTTGTCCCTTTGCAGCAGCTGTTGCGAGGGCGCTGCCATAGTATCCTTGCGTAAGTTGCAGGTTGACATCAGCCCCTGCTTCCTG